GAGCCGCCACCAGTGCCTGCGGGATCTCCTGGTGCGCAGCCCGCCCCAGCGCCCCGCCCAGACCCGTGTTTCTGCAACCTGAGGACACATTATTATTTCCTCTCCACGACTGCTCATGGAGGGCTTGCAGGATGCAGCCCCCGACACATAAATAAATGCAAGGCTTGTCAGGAGAAGGAGGCGTAATTAGCCGACATCAATGCCAAGCTCCAACTCGTTTTGTAACTCCAATAACATTGTGCTTGGGCCACAGCCAGAGCCCCCGGTTCCGGATCTTTCAGCCACTGGGGCACAATGCTTTGCCCCCAGAGAGGATGCTGCCCCCAGAAATATCTGTCTGCTATTTATAACCCTGTCCCAGCACAAAGCCCAGGGCGTCCCCAGGGCACCGTCTCCTCCCTCCGCTCAAACAGGACAGTTTGCTGTGGCCCCTGGGGGCTGTGTGTGGCCTGGCTCTGTGGGTGGCTGCGTGCACACCCTGACTTGATGGCTGAGGCGACATGAACTGCCCCCACAGGTCCAGATCTGCCCAGGGCCAGGAGCACGAAGCCTAGCTCAGTGGGTGGGGCTCCCTCAGCCTGGTCAGATTCCCCAAATGCCACTCACTCAGGCGCTCTGACCATGACCCTGGAGCATGTGCCCAGTGCCAGGCACTGTCCCAAGCCCTAGGGCACAGGGAGGCCCACGAGCAGCCTGCCCCGCCCTTGGGAAGCTCACAGTCTACAGAGGGAGACAGACAAACAGAAAACAAGTGAACAAGAGCAATCCGGGCAGCAGTCATGGGGGAGATGAAATGGGGGGTCTCATGGGAGAGCCATTACTGCTGAGACCCCACCAAGAGGAGGTGGTGGCCATGGGACGATCACCCCTCTAGACACCCTGTCTCCTAACTGCTCATGTGCTGGGCTTGCCCCCAGGGGGAAGGAGGGTGGGTGATCAAGGCAGGCTTCACGGAAGAGGAGACGTCCACCAAGTTGCAGAGAATCTGTAACGACAGCCTGGTGCCTACTGACTGCCAGGTGACCAGCAGGGGTGCCCACAGGGACACCTGAGGAGGGAGGCCACAGACTTCCTCAAACCTGAGACGTCCCCAAACCTCCGTGGACGTGGCCACCACAGAGCCTTTTCCTTGCTGGAAGCTTGTCTCCTTCAAAATGAGGAGCAATAATACCTCTTCCCAGAGGCAAGAACTGAAGGAGATGACACATCAAAGGGTCATATCAGGTGCTTGGGATATAGTGTCAAGAAAACGTAACCTGTAAGTTGAGTTCCCAGAAAGACCTGTCATCCAATTCAGACATCTCAGAAAGGATGGGTCCCGCCCCTCAATGCAGGCTGGGCAGTTGCTGGGCCCCTCCAGGTGGTGGGGGAGAGGAGCGGGGGAGCCCAGGCTGTGAGTGAGCAGAGGGAGCCCTGGAGCCAGGGCTGGAGGAGAGGACCCAGGCCTCCAGGTGAGTTCCTCCAGGAGAAAGGACCTAGGTCACTGGGAAGGAGAGGGGCATGAAGGGAATCAGCAAGTCCAGAGCTCCAGCTACACTCACCGCCCCAGGAGGACCACCCTGAACCTGGGACCCGGTCCATGGAACTGCAATGGGGAACATGACCTTCCTTCATGAGCACTGGTGACAGGCCTGGCCGGGGAGGTGACAGAGAGGAGCTGCCCAGGCCTGCCTTCAGGGAGCGCAGGCTCTGGGGCAGGGGGGGAGGGAGGGGGCA